AATCCATGCGATCGTAATCCATTTCTTCGTGATCAGACTCATCTTGCTGTTCCATCAACTTTCCTTTCTTTTCTTTGATCCTGCAAAACATGCAAATGTAATCTTATCACATTATGTATAAAGAATAGGAATTTAATGGAGTTAGATAGTGGATTTTGTACCTGAAGCAGAGCCACACTTCTTGACTCTTCCATCTCTTAGACTCTTTGGTTCCTTTGGGCAGCTTCGTATCCATTTCCCTTTCCCTTGGCAGCAGAAACATGTGGCCTCTCCTAGAGCGTCCACGGAAGCATGGTTGGTTGAATTTCCCAACAAATATGCTCCATTGCTTTGCCAAATCATTTCTGATTCAGCAGCAATGAGCATGTAAGTTAGGTCAATGAGGTTTTCGTCATGATCCATCATATAATACTTTCTTTTGAACTCATTATATGATTCAGAAGTGACTGCAGAACCCAGTTCACAGCCAACTTATCCGGGAATGACGCACCCAACATTATCAACCTATCGATGTGTGATTTCATTCCTAGAATGTGAGCACACACGGGTTTACCATCTTCATGTTTCATTTCCAATAGGGCTTTAGTGACATTGAACCTTTCAATTCTTCGATCTTGTGGGTTAGGAGAATAATTGGAGGAGGTGGAGGAAGTGAAGCCTGATTTCTTGTTCCTCGATCGAATCGTGGAATATCATCTTCATGTGGAAAGCTTGTTCCACGAAATTTGGGAAGACCATAGCTGTCGTACTTTGACATCTACAAAACGGGAGAAAACAAATTCAAGTTAGTTGATTGATTGAGTCCTTAATAAATCACCCAAATGAGATATTAAGGCTAGGACCCAACACAATACGCCACAACCTAGAAAAGGGATGTCGTAATCTAGTTGCAGAATATTTGAAGGTAAGTGAATGACGATTCACTAATTTTCCACCATGAAAAACGAAAAAGAAATTTAAGTTTTAAATTTATGAAAACTCCTAGATTCTTTGAGATTCATTGAACATTTCAATGGCATATTTAAATCTCGATATGCCCTTCTAGTTTGTGACTGGGATGCCGAGGATCACAAAGCGGATGTGAATAACCACGCAAACTTACATGGTGCCCCCACATGTTACAGTCATCTATTCGATGTGCCACACACGCTCCACCGAACTATGACAAACATTGAGTCACCCTTTGCTACCTTCGCTTAGAACCATTTAGTGTGCTGGTAAACCACACACGCTCCACTAACGTCTTCGCAAGGGTACAAAGTGTAATTTCATGGAATTGCATCAATTCACTTTTGCCTAAGTAACTAAGATTGGGAATTTGTAAAACATTTAGTTACTTTTGTACTTCATTATACTTATAATGGAAGGTTTTGTCCTATCCTACCCGTTCGGCTAACGACCCTCCACTAGTCAAGAGTGCGGTGGGTAAGAGTGGATACCCATTCAATCGCCATTTTATAGGCAATTTCCTTAAACACCCCTTATAGACCAGCTTCGTGAATGAGGCCTACTAACGGTAAGACTGACTTTTTCTTATACATATATATATATATATAATGTTAGACTTTTAATGTTATATATAGTATAGGGTGTGTTTTACACTTTTAAAATACTAGGTGGTCAAATATAACAATTATACTTTTAATTGTAAACCAAAACTTTTATGGATTTATTAAACTTCTTTTAATTATACACCTTAATTAATTAATAAAACCATAAGGGTGTGATTTGAACTTTTCAAAACAATACTAGGGTTTTAGAATTTAACATTCCTAAATTAAACTTTTAATCAACTTTTAAATTCCAAAACTTGAGGGCAAGTTTTGAAACATTTCAAAACATTAGGGTTTAGAATTTAAATATGCATCAAAATTAAACTTTTAATCAAAATTTAAATTCCAAAACTTGAGGGCAAGTTTTGAAACTTTTCAAAACAATTTAGTTTTAATTTCTCTTAAAATTTTTCGAATTTATGACATGTAAATTAAAATTTTAAATATTAAAACTCTTGATTTAATAATTATCTTGAATTAGACTATTAATTTAATTATTAAATCATAAGGGATTATCTAAATCATGAGGATAATTACCATTTATACATTTAAGATATCCTAATCCCTTAATTATCTCTCTAGATTTCGAAATTATGGTTAGGATAATGCAAAATCTATAATTACCATATATAACAATTAGAAGATAATTACAAGATATGGGATAATCCAAATCCCTAAAATTTAGGATCTTATCTTGGGGAGGAGGCTAATTTCGAAAATCAAGGGATTAAAACAAACCCTAGATTTCGAAATTTAAGGGTTTAAGGAAAGGATTTGAAGATCTTATTCAAACTCTTGCAAATTAGGGTTTGTAAACCCTAATCTCGAAAATTATAGCCTCCTAGGGTTTATTGGCAATAAACCCTAATATGTCAAGTTCATACAATTGAATAAACTAATTGAAAACAAAATAACCAATGGCTCTGATACCACTGATGGGTTTTATACAAACAATCCTATGTGTACATGCAACCCTAGCATTGGATCTATGTTTTCACTATTAGATACACAACATTATGAACACATAATAAAACCCTAAAGATGATTGCTATTTTCGAAATTAACCAAGAAGGTTAGATTACATACCTCTTGTTGTTATATTGTAATAACAACTTGAATCTTCAAACCCTAAGTCTTGAAAGCAAGCACCACAAGTGTAGTGCCTCTAATGGCTCACAAACACCAAGAGCAATTGGAGAGGCTATAGAGAAAGAAGGAGAGGTATAAAATTCGTCCCTAAGAAGCCTTGGGAAGGTATGGATGAAATCATGAGCCAAAGGGGTGTTTATATAGGTGTAGAGATAGGGTTTCAGTCCTTATCCTTATCTAGTTGCTTGCCCACCAAGCAAACCATAAGATAAGCCTTGAATCCTTATCATGGATGAATTCTAAGGCCTTATCACCTTAAATTCGTCCAACCTATCCTTAGGATAATCCTTACCCTATTTTGTAACTATCACATAATTACAATTCAGCCCCTCTAGTTTAATTAATTACATTTGATCACAAAATTAATTCTTAATTAATTATTGACCAATATTAATTAAACAAATATGATTTCTCCTTTAATATATTATTCTTATAACATATTAATAAATCATAATAACCTCTTTCTCTATTATTTCTCCAGTCAAGTTGCTTTGGTGAAGGTAACCCAAAAGGACCATGCACAATCGGGTCAAGTATTTACCAAATATGGTTATTGGGTTAGACACTAATCCAACAAAAAAAACCATCACTTTTACAGTGATGCATACTTTCAAAACAGTCGGGTCTTGTTAGAATACTACTTTCAAAACAATTAGGTCTTGGTAGAAGATTAGTTTTGATACTAGTAGGAAATATGGGATTTTCTAGGGTTTTTCAAACATTTACAATTACTTACAAACATGTTCATTGATACAAACTTTTCTTCAAACATTTACAAGTGTTTTTATTACAAGTTTTATTTACAAATCAAAGACACGTAAATACTTATGAATTCACCAGCTTTATTGTTGATACTCGCTTTCAAAACAACTTGTATTCTTAGGTCACAAATAGACAGGTACGACGACCAGGTTTTGTGAAGACGGATCAATCAAGACTCGTCTTTTAGTTTGAGTATTCATTATGTTGTTTTATACCATGAAAGAACACACTTGTAATCAAAATTATACTATTAATGCAATGGATGATGTTGTTGCCTGTTTACTACTTTACATTGTTGTGATACATTACATAACGTCCTTCGCTGCAGAACGTTTCCGCTGATCTCCGTTTTGGGGTGTGACAGATTGGTATCAGAGCATTGTTTTTAGTGAATTAAGTATATCAACCCATAAAAGATATACTAACTATAAATACAATGGGATTAAAAATACTCTGACCAAGAGTTTATAGTTTTAAATAATAAAATATTTAACTAAGTATACATACCTGCATTCATACTAAAATCGGTGTCACAATGACAAGAACAAAAATATTATGATTGTTGAATATCACAAGTAAACTCGGGGATGTATGGTCAGTCTTGGGAGTGGCATAGCCTAATCAACTATGCTGGTCCGAGGAGTGATTAGCACATGCCCAAGAATGGTAGTGATGTGGCAACAATTCTAAAAACTTACCAACACTATTACAATGAGAACTCTAGGACAGAACCTAAGTCTAAGATACTATAGGAGTATTTTGTCACTACTAGAAAAACAGCCTTTTACGACGCTCATTGCGCGTCATAAAACGCTCAGATGACGCGCAAATGCGCGTCAAGGAAGGCCATGTCATAACGAGAGACGAAGCGCATTTACGACGTGCATTTATGACATGCAATGTGTATCATTAAAGTCGCTGTCAAGAAAGGCCATGTCATAAATGAAGATGACACATATTTTTGCGTATCGTAATTTTTATTTTTATTTTTAAAAAATTATTTATAGATTTACTAATTTTCAAATTAAATTTGCATTTCATGTCTCATAATAGAAAATAAAATACCATTTACAAAAAATACAGTCCATTGCACAAAAGTTAATGTCATACAAAATACAAAGAACAATACAATAAATAAGAAAGATAATTCATTGCACTAACATGTCAAATACAAATAATCATCCTTAACTATATAACCTAATACTACATTGCTATTAAGGGACATCATCATAACTCACTGAAGGTCTTGGAACAATGTTCTCGTCATCAACTCTTACACCAACCTTTCTTTAGTAGATGGTCTTGTAGCTACTATCTTTTTCAGTGTTAAATGCCCACATATAGCATACCTGCAATATGAAAATTGTTCTTAAATCTCAATACAAAGTATATATACATATATCTAAGGTGCAAATTATTCAAATAGGTGTTCTAATAACTCTTATATACGGTTGTCTAATAGCAAGTACTTCTTTGTGACTAGATCAAAACAGAGAAAAGATTGCCAAATTTAGCTATATTCAAAATGTATGAAAGTTAAATGTTACTGGTGAATAGATAGAGTGAAAGTATTATGATCTGGATGTCTTTGAAGCTTGAAATATGCTGTAAATTCCCATTATAGTCAATCTTGTACCAGGTACAATTGCTCCACCAAGCCCAGGGCGACAGGGAATCTAATTCCACATCAGCATACTCCAAAAACACCTACACAATGTGCAAAAAACAACAACATACTTTCATTCGTTAAAATTAATGAATATTGTGAAAATAGTTTGTTGAAAAAATGTAATGAAAGAAAAACAAGCAACACTAAACTAACCTTGCCAACACCTGGTGCTGGTTCTCCAGTAGGGTTAGGGCGTGGAATTACAACATTCACTAGACTACCTGAAAAATTAGTGAGAAAAATTGAGATTAAAAAAAATATTTGGTGTAAATATTGGATATGGATATAAACAGGTGGGGTAAAAAGAAGGGGCTTCTGTCTGGATGCTTTATAGGAGTGTGATTACAAAAGGCTGTAAAATAGAAAGATATGAAAACAATAAAAATTAATAGATTGATATAAACGATTTGGCAAAGTAGGAAGTTAAATACGGAATTAGAATTATAAAGCGAGAAAATGAAAGTTAAAATAAGGTTAATTTAATGAATTTTCCACATTCTTTTTTCATGTCTTCCAATATATCTTGATAATCTTCATCATATTTAAGTTCATCTTCAGTCACCACTTGTGCTAAACATAGAACTTTAGTGGCAGTTGTCCCAGTGGAGGGAGGTGGTTGCAACATCATCCTCTGCAAACAAAAATATTATTTAATTATAATATTATAAATGGGAATTTAAAAAAAATGGAATTTTTTTAATACCTGCAATGCAATTTGTTGTTGTGCATGTAAAAGCACGCTCTCCTGTTTAGGCCTGCATTGAGTTTGACATTGGTTAGCACGTCTAACAGTAAGTGTCTTGTCACCCATTTTGATCCCATTAAGAGCTGCACAAGCAATGTCTATAACATATAAGTCTTGATAAACACATAACGTGTATCCTTTTGAGTTTCCAGTTTCTCTATCTTTCACAAGATGAAATCCTCTAAGAGCACCAAGCGCAGGGAGAACAAGATCTGTCACCAAATACCTTAATTAAATAATATAACTTGAAACAAAAATCATCATATGATACCACAACATCCAATCCAAGTCCAAAAAACTAAAACTTAAAATAGTATTCAGTACCTAACTAACTGAGAACACCTTGGTATGGGTAGAGCTAGCTACTAAAGCATTCATGGCAAGAAAGTGCTTGCAACAGAGTACCATGTGAACTATCCCAAAACTGAACACTGCCACTATTGTCGCCACTCACAAGGGTCCCACACCTAAAACTACATTTATATAAGATATAGATAAATAAAGACTTGTTTGTTACCTTACTAACAGAATGATAAACATATAAATCAAATTAAACATACATTTTTTCATAAATAAAAACGATCTAGGGAGTTGCAAGAATTTGAAAACTCTTAGAACCATATATATTTTTCTAGATGAAAAATGTTACGAAACAGGAAAATAGGGACGAAAAAATGCAAAAAAAAAAGAGATTATTTTTTTTATAAATTATCCAGAAACCAATCTTATAAGGATATTATCATTTTTATCTTCCTTATGTAGTGTTACATTATCACCCCTGCATTACCTATAATGTTTCTTTGACCCTTAGAAAAAATTCCACTTGCCTACCATGTTATGAATCCAAGGGCAGCTAAGGGTATAGAAAGTGCACCATTTGTCTAAATGCTTCCAGTTCTTTGTTCATCTGTATCAACACTCATCTCTGGTCCATTTTGCATCCGAAGATCCTTAACAAAAAAATAGTTAAAATTTAAACCCGTTTATTTGTTTATTATAATTTTTATAAATAGAAATGAACCTCTAGTGCCTTTTGAAGATTTTCCATTTCATTATCTTCACCCTCCATTATTTCCTAACTTGCTAGCTGAGTCATCATCATCATCACGCCCTACTACATATATTGCTTCTGGGCCCACCTAATATCACCAAACATCATATCAATAAACAAAAAACTACTTCAAACAAGAAGGGCATTCTTGTCTTTTTATAATAAATATGATTCAACATACCATTGAAACCATTCTATCAGCGCAAGTAACTTTAATATCACCATTTCTAAGCCATGTAATATTTCCAACCCAAGAAAGATCCGAAATCTCTTTTGAGCATGAGTCTCTATTATATCCGCGTATCTCAATAATCATTTCTTCAGTAAAAGTGACTTCAATCTGCAACATAGTTGAATATGTGTAACATGTTCTTCTATTTCCTGCATCAGAAAAGGTGTATTTTTTCATATATTTTTTCATATATGGTTTCCTTCTATTAGCCCAATGATAGTAGTTAGAGAAAACTAAAGATAGATGGTAACACATATACGACAAACAAACATATTTTCCAAATCATATGATCCTCACTGTCAATCCCTTCATTTTAACAAAAAAAAATATATCCAAAGGGTAACCAGAGACAACGAAGGGTAACCAGAGATGTTAGCTTACCCTGATCAATAGAGAAGCTATGAGCACCGTGTGAGTTAAAAAATAGTAGTCCAAATCGGGTTAAATTAATCATCGATTGATGTAGGTTACACCGCCTTCCCCCCAAACGACACATCAAACTTCTTTTCTCTTGTTTCCTAGGGCTCCTCCCTTGAACCTTAAATTCAAGGTTTTCTCTTGTTTATCCTCTCTTAAGACGAATCCTAATCTCAAATTAGCTAACATGATAACTGCTTCCAAAAAACAAACAAATATTATTTAGAAATAGGGCTATAGTTTAATAAGATAAGTAGCTACATATAATGAGAAACTTTTACCAAAATCACATAACAAAGACACAAACTAAAGTCATATTTGGAAGAGAAGGGACAAACTAACATATCTGATTAAAAAAACTTCCAAAATACAGAGTTAAAAATGAAATTAGGGTTCTAGCCCTTTAACTGGATCGATTCCAGACATGATGAAGAGAAGAGAATAAACATAGGGCTTCAACATATATTCACATGAAGAGAATGCTAGAAGATGGATTAAAGTGAAAAGGGTTGAAAATTTGAGAGTTTAATACGAAATACAACCAATATGTAATCAGACCTCATGAACTGGATTCCAAATTGAAACTCTAATTTTTGTTGAAAAGAGGCAAGAATCAAATGAAGTGGAATATATAATCTTCGTTCATTCAAATACTGTAAAAAGAAAAGATAATAAAGATGAATCATAAGATGTTCAAGAGAAAGAGAGAAACAAAACCCTAGAACGGAAGTGAAGTCCAGGAGATGGTCGGACCAAGTAGCTGGTGGCAAGGCTGGAAGCAAAACCCACTTTCAAGTCTCTTGTGGTGGCGGCTGCGGTTGGAGCTTTTGACAGAGGGTGACTCGCCAAAAGAAAGTAGAGGCTACAAGGCACATTTCATGGCTCTTCAAAGCAAGCGGGATGTGGCAAGTAGTTTTGGGGAACCTCTTGGAAGTCTTGTTCCTATCGATTGAGATGACTACGAGAGAAGGTGTGGTCGTATAAGTTAAAAATGGCCGCCACCAGTCTTTCTATTGGACGAGAAAAACCTCATCGACGTGGACCAAAATAGTTTTCTTGAACATATAGGTAACGAGAGAGAGAGAGAGAGAGAGAGAGAGAGAAAAGAAAGATGGAAATAAGGTAGAGGACAATAATGGCGGCCTTTCAAACTTTTGGGATTTTCGTTTCCCCCCACTACAAAAGAAAAGTACGCGCCTTTCATTAAAAAAAATATAAAGCGACATTTCTAGACGACGCACATTTTTAAATAAGTGCCCTTCGTGTTTTTAATTTTTTTGTTGGACATTAATTTTAGGGCAAAAAAAATGCGTGTCCTCTATCCTTCAAACTTTAGAAGAGATGACATTATTTTTAGGGCACACGCTTTTGCGTATGGTAAATCACCGCGTGTCATTGTTTGCGCGTCATTAAAGGGTTGTTTTCTAGTAGTGTGTGTTACTATAATTACTTACTTAAGAACTAAAAAGATCTTCATTACTAGGTCAAAAGTTGCTAAGTGGATACACTAAGGTTATATGTAACTAGGATGACATAGACTTAGAATCTGTGAATTTTTGCTTTACCCCTGTTCCTTGGGAATTTGGAGTTAAGGTCACTTATTCGAAGGCCTATCCTGTTTTGATTAGATATAACCGGTATGCACTTTATGACTAGTGAGGTAACTAATGAATATTATCTAATAACTATCTAGTTAGTATGTCTAATAATTAGTTCTTTACCTCAATTCTCGCATAGATAACATGGCTCGACTCCATCCCCACGACGACACCTTCCGAAAGAAGGCAATGCTGAATGGTTGCGAGAAATACCAGAGGATGATCATCCAATCCCTTTGAATGATCACCATATTGAAGACCTTTCGGATGATGCTAACTTCGAACCCAAACTTGAGAACCTACCCCCGATAGCTCTCATTCCAAATCCTAACCCTCGTCCGACTTTTCATGGCCTGACGCCTCCTTGGGTAGAATGTTTGGAGACATGGAGCGAAGAGCAAGATCAGCCTATGTCGTTTAATGGAGAACAAAGCTTCTATAACATAATAGAAGGAAGCTCAGCAGACAGAATTCTTCCAATTCTGGTCCTAAGAGTTGCCCGAAATGAGATTCAGGGCAGGACAACTCTCCATCGTATCACAGAGGATGATGCCAATGCAAGAATGCATACCATCCGCACTAATCACCTTGAACACACTCATGAGAGATCTGAGAGAGACCATGAGACCCTGCTACAAGCACTAGCTGAAACACGATCCGAAGTCATAGAGCTCTGAGTACGCCAGAGGGTGTACGAAAGAGACATGCTTGATATGGAACGTCAACTGGGTGAACTGAGAGTTCACCAGAGGGATGACCACCACCAGTAGGAAATGCTTTACTTTCCTTCTTCGTTTTAGGGAATCATTTTCCTGTATATGTCCTATGTAGCATTTTTCTATGAAAATATCTTGTACTGTAAGTACTCTTAGTTAGGCCTTCAGGCGGCCAAAACCTTTCTACTCCGGATATGATGTAAGACGTTCTACAAGGTCAATTTTCCCAAACTTATTATGTCATGAATATCGATATTGAAAGTCGGCTAACTTCTATGTCACTCGTTGTTCAAAATACTTTCATTATACTATCGTTGGAATCTACCTGAAACCCACTCTAGTCAAGTTATTGGACTAGGGTAATTTACCTCAGGGATCATTCCCAATTCTCTTTCAAAGGTTGGATCAGGTTATTCACAAACCAATGGTACTGAGAGTTACATCCAGCGTAAGTCTCAGTTTAGCCATTTCATAGATTTTGGTCTTAAACAGTTAAGACACTCCTTCAACTTCTAGATCTGACTCTCCTAAAGCCTCTTAGCCCATAAAGTCGAAACTTTTAAGCCTTTGCATGGCTGTAAAGGTCCCTACTCCCTCAAACCTCTTTACTTGCTCCTCCAAAGGTCAAGATCTCATGCATGGCTCAATATTTACATCCAAGATTGCATTTTTATGAACATACAACTCTTATAGTCCTGAAATATGATAGATCTAGCCCAATGGACACCTTTTGCTCATAAAGTCTCCATCTTGGGACCAAAAACCCTAGAAATTGGTCCAAGAAGCATACAACACAAATGAAAATGCAAGTTTTGAGCTTTTTACCTCAGGAAGAAGCTCCAACCTCTGAAAATCTCGGATCTACCCTTTCCCGCAAACTTCTAGCCTCCAAAGTGACCTCTTCTTCTCTTCCACTACCTTGAAATGACACTAAGAAGCTTAGAACACCAACAAACTAGCTAGAAATGAAGGAGGACTCTATATTAGGGTTTTACTCTCTCGAATGGAAGTTGAGGTTAAGGCCATAAAATTCCTTTTATAGTGCATAAGCTCCAAATTAGGGTTTACACCTGGGCTCGCTACGCCCATCGTAACCCTGGGTACGCCCAGCATACCCAGGCGAGTCTGCATCCAATTTAAGCACATGAGTACGCGCAGCGTACTCCTCTGTACACCCAACATACTCACTAGCCTAACTCTTAAACTAAGGGACTTAACTTGACAACTTGGGAAAGGAGAAGGGTTAAATAGCTTTACCTGAATTTCGGGATGTTACAATTCTCCCCCACTAGAACCAGACTCCGCCCTAGAAGTCTCATGTCAAAAACAACTCCAGATGCTGCTCCCGTATCTTCGACTCCGATTCCTAAGTTAGCTTGGACCCTCACCGATGTTGCCATTGAACCTGAACCAGGAGCACCTCCTTGTTCCTCGGAACCTTGAACTTCTGATCCAAGATTTTGATCGACCTCTCAACATAATTTAGACTCGCGTCCACTTGGATATCCTCCAACGGTACTACTGCTGACTCGTCGGCTATTCACTTCCTCAACTGAGACACGTGGAAGGTATGATGAATCTGGCCCAACTCCGCAGTTAGCTCCAAACGATATGCTACTCTGCCCACCCTCACGATCACCCTAAACGACCCAATATACCGGGGGACCCAGCTTTCCCCTCTTCCTGTATCGAATCACTCCTTTCCAAGCAGACACTTTCAAGAGTACAAAATCCCCAACCTGAAACTTGAGCTCGGATCGCCGCCTATCCGTATAACTTTTCTGGTGACTCTAAGCTATCAACAATCTCTACCTGACCTGCTGTATCTACTATGTTGTCTGAAGCACTATCTCAGTGCTGCCCATCACTCGCTGCCCTACCTCTCCCCCAACAGATGGGAGTCTGACACCTCGTCCCATACAACAACTCAAATGGAGGCATACCAATGCTCGAATGGTGGTTGTTGTTATAAGAAAACTCAGCCAATGGCAGATGCATGTCCCAACTCCATTCGAAGTCCAAGACACATTCTCGAAGCATGTCTTCGAGCGTCTGAATCATCCGCTCACTCTGTCCATCTGTCTGTGGGTGGTAAGCGGTACCAAAATGCAGCCTCGTGCCCAACTCCTTGTGGAACTTCTTCCAGAACCTGGAATTAAAACGTACATCCCGGTTTGATACAATTGAAATCAACACTCCATGCCGTGATACCACCTCCATCACATACAACTCTGCTAGCCTCTCAGCAGAAGAGCTCTCACTGATAGCAAGAAAATGAGCTCTCTTCATCAACCGATCGACGATCACCCAAATTGCATCGACACCCCTCGCGGTCCTCGACAATTTTGTAATGAAATCCATAGAAATCTGTTCCCACTTCCATTGG